TGCCTACCTGAGGATGGACTTCTGGATGAGCAGCACGTTGCAGCCGGCCTTCTTGATCTGTTTCACCATGTTGAGGATGTAAGCACGCTCCTCTCGCAGCACGCGGTCCATTTGGGCGTAATCCGACACCACGATCTGGTTGTCCATCTGCATCGTCCGAGGGAGAGAAAGGGACATGTCAGGAAAGCGTCCGAGGTTAGAGGAGGAGTGCTAACAAGAAAGCTTCACTGTATCCAGTCACAAATAACAGTTTAGACCAGCGATCTCCAGCTCCGGTCCTCGTGAGCTGCTGTCCTGCAGATGTTTCCGTACTGACTCACATTAATGGATCTTCAACAGACTTGTGTAGAACTTGACAACAAGCTGTTGGAGATCCATTCATTTCAGTCAGGTGTGTTGCAGTACGGAAACGTCTAAAACCTGCAGGACAGTAGCTCATGAGGACCGGAGCTGGAGATCCCTGGGTTAGAAGAACAAACAAACCAACAAACAAATAAAAAAATAAAAATAAAAACAGTGAGTCAAGCTAAAGAATGTTCAAAACCTGAAGCTAAGCACAAAACACAGAAGCAGGAAGTGTTTCCCCTCAGCTGATATTCATCTGATGACTCACATCGGTTTTGGGAGGGGACAGGCAGAACTGGATCAGGCCAATTTTGGCCTTCTCCACCCGGGTCACACCGGTGCTGCACACCCTCTGCGTCAGCACCAGGCCGTCCACCAGCTCACAGTCATCGATGGTCCCTCTGAGCACAACACGCGTGAGTTTAACCAGAAAACAATCCCAGAGATTTGAACAATCACAAAAAAAAAAAACCACACAACTCACCCGAGCTTCTTGATGATCTTGATGTCCTGCAGGTCGACGCTGGTGGCTGTGGCTGGTTCGATGACTCGCATGACAGCATCCACACTCATGGGTGCCAGCAGACTGGAGTACTGCGACACCACCTTAGAGCACAGCGACGTGGTGGCGCTGTTGAGCAGCGTCTCGCGGTCGCTCAGCTGCACCGGCCGGCTCATGGCTGTCAGCACCTCGACACCCTTATCCACAGCCTTCTGGAAGGACTCGGAGATGGTGGTCGGGTGGATACCTGACCGACGGGACAATACGCACAACGTTATTGGAGAATCAATCCAAGTCGATCTGTATTGAATTAATCAACAAAAATCTGCTTCATCATATGTGTTCAAGCTAAAACGCTCACTNAATAAATGTGTGAATGCTCTCCAGCCAAGTTGCTGAAACAACTAGGAGTGAATAAATGGTGAGCTGTTCACTGTACTGTTCCTCCGTTCGTTACGCTCGGGCCGGATGAAGCGATGCAAGAGCGCCTTTGTCAGAGGGTATGTCTGTCTACAAATGTTCATCCATCTCTGCCATGTTAGAGAAACCCAGCTGTGCACAGATGACTGACCTCTTCTTGACCAGGCAGCGGATGACACACAGCGCGTCGTGGATGGAGCGCTCTGCCTCCTCGATCACCAGCTTGTTGGAACCCCGAACAACGATGCTCACCGTCTTGCCGGGGCTGGTGCAGCCTGTGATCTGTAACGAGCAGCGAAATGATTTACATCAAGTTGTTTCAGCTTATTCCGTCTTCAGCTGTGATCCAACTGAAACATGATCCGTCCTTTAACTTGACCTCTGCTGCGACTGTGTCAAGCTCAACACCTGAATCTCTCTCAGATCGATGCGTACCTTGACCAGTTTGCCGGAGCCGTCCAGGCTGACCTCCTCTGCCAGCTCTGCTGTGCCGAGCATCTCTGGGGTGAAGTGGTCGATGTGGGCGATGGGCTTGGTGCCAATAGTCTGGATGGAAGCAAAGGTTTCATTTGACTTTACTTTGACACTGTAGTTTTATTTGCCAGGAAAATATAGTTGAGAACAGTTCTAGTAAGATTGAATTTTATGTGCGGCTTATTAGACACAGTGCCATTTAAGTGATAGTAGAATAGCACAGAAAACGAGAAGGTTCAGGCCATAAAACAAACCATTTGTTTATAAGTAGAAATGTCCAAATGTTGTTGACGTTTAATTAAACATCGAAATAATTATGTTTTGCAGAGTTCAGTTTACAAGTCCTTAATGCTTAACTTTTCCTTCTCCATCAGAAACATCGAGGCAAACACAACTTTAGTCAAACACAGACTCAGGTCTGAGCCAGTTAACAGTGTAAGAACTACTCGCTGCTCGTTGTCAACACGATGACCCAAAGTGTTGCAGAGAGCGATGGGAGATTTCTAAATGTCATCATGTGCAGTCTGTGGGTGAGTCGATGGCACCAACCTTGCAGATGAACTCGATGTCCTCTCTCTCGATTTCTTTCACCACCATGATCTTCATCTTGTTGAGGAAGTGCAGGGCGAGGTCACTCAGAGCGTCTCTGTCATGGGACAGTGTGTTGTTAGGATGTGTGTAACAGACATAAAACATGATG